GTAGGGTTAGCTTAATAAATTATGATGGAAAAGATAGTAGAGCTGTTCATGTGGCACAAAACCGTACGAAATGTTGTGAGGACACATGGAGAGGAATATGTGGGAAACGGTCTGCCTGTGTTTCATCCCTCAGCTGTAAACACGGGCAGTATAAGGCGCGGTTAGTCGGGAAGTTCCGGCAAACTAGAAACAATAGCTTACGTGGCATTCCATAAAGCACGCACCACAATTGTCCATCGTTCCCTTGTCAATTTATGAATTGTTGATCTTATCAAGAATCGTAGACATGCGTAGCCACGTCGTGCAATACGATTCGATGCACATGCAACACATTCCGTCAACAGTGTCAGTGCGTCAAACAGTGCTCGATTCACCCAAGCATTGTCTGAAAAAAAATTTATAGATTTTTGCCACAATCGCTGCGGGTATTAGAATAAGACGTGCATAACTTAATGGACCGAAACATCCTTATCTTACCATACACATGTCCATATCTTATATGCATCAATAACTCTGATTTTCTCCTGTTTTTAAAGTCCCCATTTCTTTATAAGTGGTTTTTTAAATGTGTTTTTAATGTAAAAACGCATATTGGCAAGGGACTCTATGTATGTGTATTTATCTGTGTGTTCACACATTTTGTCACCCATTTTCAACCCGAAAACCAGGAAAGCTAGAAAGCTGAGACTTCAGGAATATATGCCTACTCCATGTGTGACCCTCCTGTTTTAATATCATCACCCGCGTACGTCTGTGCTTATTTTTATTCACCCTTACCTATTTATAGATACTTTTGTTATGTTTTTGGCTTCCCAACAGTTTTCTTTCCTGCAGCTCTTGCTTTATTCGATGACTCGGCCTGCGTCGAGAAAGCTTAATATCAAGCATTTTCGCAAGACCATTGAAAATAAAAAATAACATTTCACACGTCAGTCTTCTTATTGCTGGTGGAAGTTTTCCACAGTTAATATGAAAAGGGCCGAAGTTCTCTTCAGTGTGCGAATCTTGAGAATGTTTTTATATGCTTATTCTATTTGGCGAAATTTGTCGATCCTGCTAGAAGTCTCGTCCTATGGTCTGTTCTTTAGAAGTACTGTAACTTAGTTTATTAATCCTGTAGTGTGTTTTCTTCAAACTAAACGAATCGCATTTATATATGTATCCTGTGTGATGAGTAAATCTATCAGCTAAACTCTGACGTTTATTATGCCTGATCAAAAAAATAACTGTGTAGCTACGTAAACTAAAGCAGTGCGCAAAAAGAGTTTTTGAATGTATACCTTCGGAATGAAGCACGTACTGTTTGACAATTTCAGTACATAAGCCAAGTGCTTGCTTGAGATTATTCTCATGTTCGGCTGTTTCTTTTCGCAACCATCGCTGTAGCATTGGAAAAACCAAAACTGACAAGCCATAGGCACCAAAATTCATCCCTTAAAATTCATATTTCAAAATTCAAAATTCAATTCCTTATTCTTCCAAAATTCAAAATGCACCAAAAAATTCAAAATTCAAAAATCCTTCATCCTTTATTAGATCATCAAAATTACTGAAATCATACATTTCTAAAGGCGGTGCGATAGCTGAAGTGCAACCAAGTCCTGAAAGAAAATGCTAGAGTGTGGCCGAAGGGTTAGAAGATAGCGGATTTGGAATTTGGTATTTCGAGAAAATTGGAACTCCATCCAGGGACGACTGTAAAGCAGGTTTAATTTGTTGAACTGGAAGTGCCTTTATTTAATGTTTTGGTAAACACTGTTTCCGTCTAACAAAACCTCCAAAAAATTTGATCGGCTTACATAGCATCAGTGCAAAACTGCAATTTCAGTTCAGTTTTGTAGATTATCAATGGCACTGTTAAGGGTAATAGCAACAAAACGGTCGCTTACCGGGACCTTGCGACTGGGAAATTGAAAGAGGGAGGGGTATGAGGTCATCGGCAAAAACCATCAGTGTGAGAAAACAGATCGAGTAGTGGCAATTATGCACAAAAAAATAAGATATCACGTCGGGGCTTAAGACTGCCAACGTACAAAAAGGATGGTGAGGCTCAGTACAGACCTATGGACATCTCAAAATGGCCAAGGCCTTTCTAAATGCTTCTATGGGAAAACGATTACGCATCAGGAGGTGAAATGAATGACCATCAGGCTATGCAGCACTGGTCAAAGCAACTGGGAAAGTTGCCAACTGGCTAGTTACAGAACCACCCTATGAATTACCTGGGAAAGTTCGAGATACTGAGACAGAGCTGCTATTAGCATAAAACCAATAAAAAAAAAATCCCAAGGGCTAAAAATCCCAGGACTTATGGATTTTATTGGAAGCACTGTCTTTTTTTTCAACGAATTCTTTGCAGGAGCTAATTTTTAGTCAACGAACTCCGGAAAATTTCGTACAGACTTTAAACGAAAAGCCGGAATTACAGCTTTTCAAATTTTGGAAACTCAAAACAACAAACATTACCATAGTCGGTGCTGATCTGAGCTTCAATCAAATCGGCAATTGTTCGCAAAAGGTTTGATTGTAGCGGTACGGGACAAACGAATGTTACAGCAGTGAGGCCCTCAAGCAGCGACAAATAAATCTCAACACAACTTCGCATTGGCGCTGTATAATTTTCCCATGGTGAGTTTGTCTGCGGTACTGGAAGTAGACACCAGAAGATATACGTAGTTTCGATAACAAATTCACAAACAGTTTTATTTTCTTCCAATCAATATGCATATAACTTAACGGATCGAAACGTCTTATCTCACTCTTACCTTCTTTTCTCATACTGTTCCCTCATGCTGTAATCTATCGGGCCTTCATCATTTAAGCTTTTCTTATAATCCTGCCGGTCTATTATTCCAGAGTCAACTTGGTTGCTACTGTACGTATATTTCTTTACTTTTATTCACTTACATTTAATGTTACATGCAGTAGATTTGAATCCAAATTTATAACATTCCTGAGCGTGCTTACACTCAAGTTAATGTTGTAATGGCCAACGCATATAAAAGATATCTTGATATGCTTAAGCGCTTGCAAGTGTTTCTATCGGGAACATAGGCGGGTCCGGGACTCCTAGAGGAGGGAGGTGGGGACGAAAGTGGGGCTTCTGGACGGGGAGGGGGGGATGACGGAGGGTGAGAAGGATAGTCTATTCCCATCCTGGAACTATGCAAAAGCTAGGAATAGACTTGTAACACTGCTACTTAGAGCTGATTTAGAGTCAGTTTAGGCTTAGTTTTAGCTTTAGGCCTGAGCTTTTGCAACACTGATGTCTGTGCCGCTGAGGGATGGGGAGGGGGGGGGAGGGGTGATGAGGACCCAGTGGCCCCACCCTCCCCCAGTCTTACCCATGGTTGGGAAACTCGTGAAGTCGGCAGTTCCTGAGGAAACCCCAGCAAACGTTACGATTATTTTAGCTGGTTGACCAATGAAAGATGCAGCAGTGGTCAAAGGCACCTGTGAAAGCCCCCTTGCAGTGGCGTGGTGAGAAATTTGATGCAAGAAGCAGCGAGTGCTAAGAATATCGCGGTAACCAGACCAGTTGGACCAGGAACGCTACTGGCTCGCTGAGTTGATCCATTAATTTGAATATGAGTGCGGAAAAACACAGAATTGGAGAAGTTGCCAGCTACAAAGATTGCGATCCAGATCGCAATCTAGCAGTTTTTCCTGACAATTCAGGTACGTCTGCATCCCTCACAACGGAGGTAACCTTTTCCAGGTGAGTAGTAACATGGTCCTAAAAAAACTCGAAAAAAGAACCTTCCAACAAACGATCCAAATCAGTTGGAAGAATCGGCTGTACAACATCAAAAAATGGCTCTTCAATAAGAACAGTTGACAAAGGTTCCACCAAAAACGAAGCATCGGTGTGTCGCTCGACAAACTGTTGATCTCGTTCACGCATTGTTAGCCTGAAACATGCTTTTTAGAAAAGAAAATAAACCAAAAATTTCTCGAGAATTTGGTAGTAATATGCGGCAGAGAACCAAAACCTCCTTTAGTTTGATTCAAAACAATCTCTCAAACAGAGAAAACATTGAAGACTAATTACCACAGTCGTCGTACTGAGGAGGTTCAATTGTGGTAATGACAAGGAACGTATACGAATTAATGGACCGAAACATTTCTTACCAATAGAAAATATTTTTCAATACATTTCAAGTTTTATTAATTCCTTCTTGTTTCAACATTAAAAAATTTTTATTGAAAACCTTAAAAGCGAAACCTTTTGGATATACTCCTGAACCGAAGAAAGAAACAACCCCTTCCAGAAGACTACGGTTTATGGATACATCTTACAATACCGAAAGTTCTACACCAGCAATCTCAGTAATCCAAGTGGAATATCCAAGTGGAACCTTTGCAGTAGATGTGGATCAGCGGTATCGGCGCGATTTAGCAAATCATGAAGCATTCGTTCTACTTTTAGCAAATTTTGCAAAGCCGTTGATGCGACCGTTATGTTCGTCGACGTGATGGCCACATCATCCTCTAAAAACATCTCGGATATGTATAATTGTCAGGAAAAACGCTTACGATTAGCTGGGAAGCACAGCGCAGTGCGGAGCTGTATTGCTGCCTTTCAGTAAGTAAGATGCTATTTTACTTTACATACAATACTTTCTACCTTTACTAGCATACACTTCCTACTTTAACTAGCATGCTAATATAGCCATTTAAAATTTAATTTATACCAATTACAATGACCACAGTCGTCTTACTGACGAGGTCCAATTGTGGTAATGGTAAGAAATGCATACGACTTAATGGACCGAAACATTTCTTACCATTATAATAATTTTAATAATTTTACTACTTTTACTAATTTCTTAATTTTTTTTTCTCCTTCATTCTTCTTCCCATTTCAAAATACCTTTCCATTTCACTCCATCAACGTGACAATCAATCCCTTACAGTTGTTTCATTCATTTCGATAGTAAATTGGTAGTAGCGCATGCCAAGGAGACAAACCTGCCATCAGCTTGCTTGTATGCACTTAAGCTTGCAGATGCAGAAAAACGCACTGATCCGCACATCGACGTACTAAAGGGGATCAGTAATGAATTGCAGGAGTTAAGGGCTTCCCGGCCACCCTATGCTTCAACTAATCGCGCATCAGCGCAGCCATATATGAATCGTTTTGTACCTTCGCAGCCTTCGATGGAAGAAACCATCGAAAGTCCGTCAGGTGCTGCTTGCCGCTTATACTTGCTATCCTCGGGATATTCAAAGCATTTCAGCGTCTCAAACACAGCTAATACGGAGGGAGTTTTGACTTCCTGGCGTAAAACAGACCAAGAAAAAATGATAAGATTATGATCTCCGTAAATGGCACAATTGCACTTTTACGCAGGCTCAGAGATAAGGTGACAGGTCTTAGACACAGCGGAACTTGGTACAGGTTATTTGCCTCAAATGGCGAAATTTAGCAAACTCAGTAGCTCAACCATAGGCGTATCCAGGAAAACCTCTTACAGGGGTTGGGGGAGGGGGGGGGAGAGGAGGAAGAGAGGGAAAGGCTTCTGGACGAAGGAGGGGAGTGGCGGGCTGCAGAAGAGAGTTTTCTTCAGTTTTAGCTTTAGATCTTGACTTTTGTAGCACTGACGTCTGCGCCGCTGGAGGAGAGGGGGGGGGACCAAAGATCCCGGTTTTAAAAAAG